CCATTCACTGCTGAAATCACCTTCCTTGATGAAGAAAACTGTGCACAGCAGAGAGCAACGAGCTGTGATGTCTCAGACCTAGGGCGAACCAGCTCTCTCCATTAACTAACCAGAAACGAAGAAGGTGTCACGAACACAGCTGAGATGCTTTACAAGCAGAAGCAGGTCAGAAACCTCGCTCTGATACCATGTTTTGGAACAGCTACAGTAAYCCGAACCAGTGAAGAAGGAAGAAGAAGATGAGGAAGAAGACAAGGGAAAGAGAGAACAGGAGGGTTTAGTCGAAACTGATTAGTCACCCATTCAGTCGACCCCCTAATGTTTATTAGGTTCTAATTACACTTATAAAGAATAAACTGCCCTCACTTAAGTGTGGGGCAGAGTACTCTAATAAAACAGCCACATAAGCAAAGTACTTAACTGACATGAGATTACTAAACTACCCCTATTCGGCTCACTCTAACAGTATCCATCCAAAATTTGCATCATAGATTCATACTTACAAGAGTTTGACAAACCAAAATAAATTTAAAATCATCTGAGTTTTTTATAAGCAAATAAAAGGAAGTTTGTTGTGGTGTTTTAAAACCTCCAAGCAATGTACTAAGAAAATGCCTTGTGGCACAGTCTAGAGGCATACAGACCCTTGAAGTATACACATCCAGCCTAGAGGCATATGAGGCATATGCCTCTTGTTCTATTGTATTTCAACCACTTTTTATAATAAAACTGCAATAGATAAACGTGGGCAAACCATTTTATCATGTTCCCCATTATAATATTAAAGTGCTTGAATTACAAAATTGTAATTTAGATGATCATTTATTTTGAGTACGTTCTTCTCTTTGGTGTTACCTTGACATTCAATGAGCTTGTAATCCTTTCCTATTTTTTAATAAAATTTTTCTTTTACTATAAAAAAATGGTAGGGTATCAACCTTCACATCACTGCATAACCCAATTTTATAAGAAAAAGAAAATCAAATATTATTTCACACTTCTGTAAAGCTCTCTGGTATATCATAAGAGACCACTTACCAAAAAAACACATTTGAGTGTAATCTTAGTTCTTAAACAAAGAACTTTCGATAGGACTTCATTTTTTTTGTAGTAAATAAAAAAGGAAATGTTACTAATAAAGAAAAAAGGGGCATCAGCTAGGTGATGAGGAATCACTACAAATCATACTCTACATATAACTCAAAAAGCAGTATACATCTAAGAAGAAAAAACAAAACAAAATTAGCTGCTTGAATCCAACTGGCTAATAATTAGCACCGAGCCTTTGCACCCTCATTCCAGGGCATAGAAAGAAGAAAATTATCATGATTAATTTCTTGGATAATACCTGACATTCTCCAAAAGAGACCTAAATACATTGGAGAAGAGACTTTGCCACATTTAAATCATTCTCACTTAGATTTTTTTTTTCTTTTTCTTTACCATAAACTTTCTTTTAAGGTTAAAGACATTTTCCTTGAAGGAAAGGAAATGGTTCCATATTGTAGCATTTAGTGTAAAGCTAAAAACATGTCATAGTTTTATATAACCACTTAAGAAAGTTCACACTCTGAATATAGCACCAGTATTTTAAGTTAGTATGGTAAGTTGTGTCCTAAACTACATAAGTGAGCAACGAAAGTTTTTGATGTACAATTGTCAGAATGGATCTCTCATTGTCAAGCTTTATCCCGTAAAAAGAAGAATGGTTCGTTTAACCATCCAATGTAGGTAGTTAGTTAACCATGTTTCTCAATGTGTAAGCTGTGAAATAGGCATACCACTGTTGAGCACCCCCATTAGAAAAACTATTTTTTCCATATTAAGGAATACTTAAGGCCGTGGCCTGAATGTAACAATGGATAAAGTGTAATTTTAAGACGAGAGGAAAAGAAAATAAACACCATTGAATTTTACCCACACAATTACCTTGAAGACTAGCAACTACAGCAGGATGAAAAACAAAGTTCTCATGGCAGATCCACCAAAACAATCGGGGGAAAGGAAAGACCAAATTCCCTCACCCAAGAAGATGCAACATGCATGAATTTAAAAATGTAATGAAAAAAAATCACTTGCACGTTGGGAAAAAAAGAAAGCAGCCATGGATCTCTCGATCGAACAAACCAATTTAAATTCCTAAATGTACATACCATAAAGAAAAGCATAGAAGTAGAAACGGGGAAAAATAAAAGAAAGCCCAAACAAAGGAAAAAAAATACAAAATTAAACCAGATCCCCAAATTTTTAGTTGAAAGTCGAAACAAATATCTAAGACCTACCATCTCCTTGAGCTCCTTGGGCACCTTCGCGATATTGTCAACCACACCAAGTGTATTAGCAACAGAAGCAAAGAGCGGCTCAGTAACCATGGCCATCGCATTCTTGTTTTCGTCCAATGCCTGAACCACATGAACAATCCCCGGATGCCGAAGTCGAACCAACCGAGCAGCATCTGCCCGAATTACATCGAAGAAGGCATCTTCCGCAGCCTTGGACAAACCCGCACGAGCGCGGGCCTCGGAGATTGCCCGCTTGTCAAGGACCCACACGCAGAAGATTGGATACTGCGCCGGAGTGGATCCACGGGCCTTGGCGGAGTACAGCTTCCAGGCAAGGCCATGGCCGCCGGATCCAATCTGGTCGAGGAGATCGTAGTCCTGCAGAGGTTTTGGGCCTGTAACTTCTTGGACTGTAGTATGAACCGTCTTCTCAATCACAGCTGCGGTCTTCGCAAGAGCCTGAGTTAAGGTTTTCATGTTCAGAGCCATGGCTGAGAAGCTCTACCGGAGAAAAAGAGAGAATTTGAATCAAATTTGACAAAATTGCTAGGGCTTTGACTCGAGGGAGAAGATGACTTGGTGGGGGGGAAGGGATCAAACTGATTCAAACATCAACTTCTGCGTCGCTTCCACCCACTCTCTCCCTCCCCCTTCCTCGCTGTCTCTTCCTCCCTACGAGAATTCATTTCCTTTGCTCCCGACAGTGTTTTTACTTCTTTACTTTTGTTTGCCAACCAACTAAAATGTACGTGGTCATTCGCCGCCTCATTATACTTGCGAGTGCTCGCATGTAATCACCGAGTCATCGTATTAAAGTAAGGGGCCTGTTTGGTAGGCCTTCGGTGTTGATCGAGTTGTATGGACTGAAATTGAATCACTTCAAGAAAAAAGCTACTACAATTAACTCTATTGGAAAGTTGATTTAGAGGCTTACATTAGCGCTTCTGTGTGACGCTTCCATTACAAAGTCAGAAATTTCTACATAAAAGCCCTCCAAATGAGCACTGCCCACTCTCAAAAAGCAATTTGAAATTAATTACAGTGGAAAGTCAATTTCATAGCTGAATTAAAAGCATACTTGAGCTTTCAAGACTTTTCACCAAATATAACTTGGATGGCTTCCCGTGTCCGTGTGGGGTTTATATTGCAAAATCAAAAACTGTTGCATGAAAGCCGTCCCAAACAGGCAATAACTTGCTATTAAGCCGCTTTGGGAAAACCACCAAAAAACGCTTTAAATGAAAGTATTTTCTTTTTTTCAATTTTTTTTTCTAAAACACGACTGATTTGAGTTTTCTCATGCGAGGCCCACCTGACAAATCAGCTTCTCATAAGAGGCGCCCCACAACGTCCTACAGCACATCTCAGTCGTGTATTGCGAATATATATATAAAATGATGAATCATCATCAGGAGATGATTCTAATATACGGCTGAAATGTGCTGTGGGGCGCCTCCTTGGGGGGCTGATTTGAAGTCCAGCGTGAAAGCGCTTCCGATTTCAAACCGGCACTGACACCCGCTGTTTTTCATTTTCTTTATTGGAAACAATTTTGTTTGCTTCAACATCCTAACGCAAACGTGGTGCAATGCATAAAATGAGAAGCTGCGTGCTTGCCTGTGGCGTTGAGAAATTAAGGCAGCTTCAGTACTCAGTAGTATAGAAACTGTGAATCACGCCACACTAATTACAGAATGTTTTTCAACATGTTCCTGTGATATATCATATATGTATTTTTTTCAATGTTTTAAAACTGATCTGGAATCGGACCATTCTAACCACCAGTTTTTAGGTTGACGGTTTGACCGTTTGGTTTGAATGGGTGGTCCATTCTAATCAAAAAATAAAAATTAATCAATATAATGAAAATAAAAACCAATGCTAAGAGAACGGGACCGGGTATAGAACCGGTGAAGAGAGAATTTCAAAGGTCAAAAGTTCGATCAGGATCAAACCATGACGGCGTGGCATATACATATATATACTATGGGTCATATAAATACTCTATATAATATATTTTACAACTTTTAATGTATTTAAATATGGTGGATGGATGGTAAGTTGGGGGGTGCATTCAGTGCAATCATGCTAATTTCATACTGCTACACTCACTACGATCGATTTCATTGCGTGAACTACTCTCTCTGTTCGCTACGCTCTCTCCTACATCAGTGCTTCGCTACGCTCGTGTAGCAGTAACAACAGGAGCCCTAAAAGGCCAAAAAGGCCATTTTAGGGTGTGTTATTGCTTGCGTCAACATAGGGTATTACATTAGGATTTTAAACACACCTTCTAAAATGCGTGCATATCAATATAATATGTACAATAAATAGTGGTAATTAACTAATCTATGAAAATAATAGGTAGATTAGTGGAAATTAACTAATCTATAAAAATAAGAGGTATTGGGTTCAAATATTATTAACAACATTTTAAAATTTTACTTATGTATGGATATGGGAGGTTTCATTAAACCGGGACCAGTTCACTGTTTTTCCAAATAAATTGGTCGATCAGTTGGTTTTTAGCGAATTTTGAGCAAGTTCGATTATTGGGGTGTGACCGAACCGATCAGGGCCCCAGGTCACGATTAAACCAGTTCGACCAATCGGTCCAGTCTGATTTTCTAAACACTGGCAAAAACGACCAAAACCACCAAATGAGTCAAAGGTTCAACCGCCCAGGTCAACAAGTCGTTGACCAATTCAACGGTTTTTTGCCAAGGACCAAGTTTGGGGTAAAACAGAACTAGTTGCCTACACAGTTCCCGAGCCAAACAATCTAACCATCTGGGCCAACAGCAAATCGAAAACCTTGATTTTTTTAGTTCCAATTTTGAAATTTTAAAATAAAGGAAAAATTCCCGATTAGTACCCTATACTTTGGGCCTAGTGCCACTTTCGTCCCCAAACTTTAAAATGCAACAATTCAGTACCCAAACTTTTAAAACGTGACAATCCAATACCTGTCGTTAACTAACTGTTAACCAGCCGTTAAGTGGCATTTGAAAAAAACACAAATGCCCTTCAAGTGTTATTTTATTTTCTTTATCAACCATCTAAACATTGACAAAAAATTAATAGTCCCAAATCTTTGCCTTTTCCATTCAAGAAAGTTGGGGTCACATTTGAGTGGGCATTCGGGTGACCCCAACTTTCTTGAATAGAAGAGGCAAGGATTTGAGACTGTTAATTTTTTGTCAATGTTTGGATGGTTGATAAAGAAAATTAGATGACACTCGAAGGCATTTGTGTATTTTTCAAATGCTACTTAACGACTAGCTAACAATAGGTATTATTGGATTGTAATGTTTTAAAAGTTTAGGTACTGAATTGTCATATTTTAAAGTTTTGGGACCAAAGTGGCACTAGGCCCAAAGTACAAGGTACTAATCGGAAATTTTTCCTAAAATAAAAATATGTGTTATTGAATATGATTTTATCGACTATCATGTTTCATAAATACTAGTGAATGACCCTGTACTAATTACGGGGAATCAATAATGTTAATTTTATATTTATTAATATTTTAAATAATTATTAAAATTTCAAAAAATAGTTTTTCAATAATTATTAGAATATAGATAGTTTTCTTTTGTTATGATACGTAGAGGGTTAATGATTGACTGAGATTGATAGAACGTAGGCATAAATGGTTGTGGATAACCACTTTTGTATTTTTTAGGAATTGATTGAAAATGGTGGTAGTGGGTTGTGGGTTTTAGCGGCAACTTCTTAGAAAATGCCACGTTTATAGCTTTTCAGAAAAATGAGAAGGCCATGTGTCTGAATGGTGAGGGGCTGTATCCTGGTAGTGGGTTGTGGGCTTTAGTAGGAATTTCTCAAAAATTGCCACATGTCTAGCTTTCTAGAAAATGATAAAACCACTTATCTGAATGGTGGTAGTGGGCTTTAATAACAACTTCTCAGAAAAGGCCATGTGTCTAAATTTGAAAAAGCCACGTGTCTGTGAAGGGATGAAAGATCCATCATATGGATGGCCGAACCTTGCAGGAAGGTTGGGTAAAATTTCAAAAATTTATCTCTCTCCCGTGTGGGAATCACATTCCCTATTTTAAAAAACTGCATTTTCAATTATCAATCTTGAAACCAAATCAGACCAAATCTGAAACCAAAAGGGAGTGGAGGGATATACCTAATACGAAGTAATAATAACCTCCAATGAAGGTGTTCACGCCCAAGAAAAAATCCAAAAACTGCTTCCACTGAACATGACACGGTGCAGGATGAAGCAGAATCAGCAGGACGACTCTTCAACAAGAACTGAATTCTTCAGTAAGAATGTGATGGAGGGCTAGTGAGCACGACTTCATATTACCTTTTCTACCAAAAGGAAATATCAATCTCCCACAGGTGGAGATTGAACCGGTATGGCGGCAAGAGCAGGAGAGAATGAGACAGTGCAGTCAAACTATGTTGTCTCTCTCTAGAATTCAGTAGTCTATTAGATGATCTAGAGGTTTGCTCTGCTCTTCTATTTATAGCCTTAAAGAGAGGTTATCCTAATCCCATTAGGAGTTTCCTAATCCAAATCTTTTATTCGGATCTAGATTCTCTTTAAGAGATAAGGATAATCCCCTATTTCATCTGCAGATAAACATCAGCCTTCCTAATCTAATTAGAAGTTTCCTTATCCAAATCTTTATTTGGATCTGAACTCTTTGAGTGGATAGGGATAATCCATTATCCTATCTGCTAATCTGAATCCCAGAACAGCCATCTTTTAATTAATCTCATTAAGCCAGTTCGCGTTGGGCTTTAGGCCCATTAAGTCTATCTGCTCACTAGCCCCTCAATTTGCTGCCCAGTTGGTTATCCTTGTATGGCATGGGACCCAAACATTGATCTATACATCAGCCACATGGGTTCAACCCAGCCTCTGTTACAAGGCCTGGCCGAATTCACTATAGGACACAGTGAACCCTTGAGTCCATCACCATGGGCTCTTAATGGGCCCAACATTTACACTAAATGGTCATTGGGTCAAGCCATCTTATAAAAACCCAAGGACTGTGAGCAGATGCAAAAAATTAGCCCATCAAGTATTACCCTCAATGGTCTTACACTTAACCTCTCAGCTCATAATGATCAAACAATGCCCGACAAGAGAGGACCTCTTCCTCGGCTGCAAGGTACAGTGTTGCACTCTATACTCACATGGATCCCGGGAATTAAAACATTTTGCAAACATTTTGTGAAACCATAATATATATATATATATTTGCAAAAACAAATCTCAACAAATTTGATATCAATTGCCAGCAGTTTAGGTTTCCATCAGAGAGAGTGCATTTCCCAATCATTCACTTTGCCGGACAAAGGGGCCGATCCTATCACTATGATCATCCACTTAGGTGAATTCTCGAACTGTCCTAACATACCTAGGTTTTGACCTCCTCTAAGAATCTCACTGATTGGCATATAAAAAACAGCCCAATCCAACACCTAGTGCAGTACCATAATCGAGTCTAGGGATCAGGTGTAACTTTCTAGTTTTTCCCATTTGTCTCCAAAGTCCTAGCTGAATTCACTACTGAATACAGTGAACCCCTAAGTCCATCAGTATGGGCTCTTAATGGGCCCAGCATTTACACTAAATGGTCCTTTGGTCCAACCATCTTATGAAGGCCCAAGGACTATGGGCAGATGTGAGATTAACCCATCAGGTTTATTATCCCTAAATGGTCTTACACTTAACCTCTCAGCCCTTAATGATCAT